TGCCTAAGAAACCAGATTAGTCATAACATAGAAGCCTATGTTGATGATGTAGTTGTCAAGACCAAGGATCCCTCGACACTAATTGCTGACTTAAAGGAAACCTTTGACAACCTTCGGGAATATAAGTGGAAGCTTAACCCAACCAAATGTGTATTTGGAGTCCTGTCAGGACAGCTCCTGGGTTTTCTCATCAGCCATCGGGGTATCGATTCTAGCACAAAGCAAATCCAAGCAATCACCCAGATGGGCCGCCCTCGCTGTGTCAAAGATGGGCCGCCCTTGCTGTGTCAAAGGTGTAGCTATTGTAGCAGATGGTGGAGGTGTTGATGCCAACTATGGTTAGCACTTTGCTAATTGGTATAGTGCTTTCATTTTAATATATTTTGTCTAGGGAGCTTTGCTCCACAGCTTGTTCAAAAAAACTACGGTGGCTCTATTGCCAACATGTAAAGTGGAGTTTGATGAGGCACCTCCATTCAGGAAGAAAACCTCTTCCACGCCCTCTGTTCCTACCACCATTGTGGTGGCCATAGGAACCTTGGTGCCCACTTAAACCATAGTGTCATAACCTAGTCGTGACTAGTGCATTTCTATTAGCATCGTAAGCATCCTTGTTGATGGTCATGAAACACCATTTTCACTATCAACATTACACCTAAAGTGAAGGTATAATCAACATCATAGTGATGATCTCTATTTTAATTAACATAGTTCCACTTGCACTTGAAAGATATTTGAATGTTGATAAATTTTAATCAAATTCAACAGCAAGTAGCAAGGGGTCTTGGCAAGGCCACCAGGGACTAGCTAGTGGGGTTGGCTATCCCCACCCTAGGTAGCCTGACCTGGCCCCACCTGGTGCCACATCACCGATCCATGCCAAGACTAGGAAACACACTTTGGGCCAATCCTAGATGTTACTTTGATGGTGGTTGCATCAAAGGGTTGTCATGAATTAATGCAAGGATTGGAGGACCCACCAAGGCATCCCCGTTCAAGCTATGGCTATTAAACTGCCTAGGATACATGTCAACTGTCTTGGAGGAGCTCCCTGCACCATTAAATGATGAGACATTGGATCCTAGGGTCAATCGAACCTAGGGGGTCACCCGACCCTACTAGGGCTCCACTAGCCTCCCATCTCCTCCTACAAGTATCCCTCCTCCTTTGTACTATAAATAGGATTGTTGGCGCCACTTTGTAATCATCTCTAATTAATATATCCAAGATCGTGAGCTAAGATAGCCACAAGTGAGATCACTCTCTAGTAGTTAGGCTAGTTGTGGGAGTTAGAGTAAGAGTTCGAGTCTAGAAGAAGTCTTTGGAGTATAGTATAGCTCTTGTATCTTTCCTCTTTTGAAAGACTTTCCTTACTTGAATATATACTTCTACTTTACTCAAGTACTTCATTCAAGCATACTTGCTTTGATAGTATACTTGGAGCTTGTTATAAGCTTAGTATCTTAGTTAACTACCTTGTTTAGTGTAGTTACATCTTGCATGGGTTTCATCGCTCTTAAAGAGTGTTCTGGTCTCATTTCATTGGAGCTTAGACCAAAGTAGTGAGTTTATAGATTAAGCATGGTGCTTAGGCTATAGCTTGCCTATGGGAAAGGACCATGCATGATGCCTAAGAGGGGGTTAATTAGGCAACTTAAAATTCTACTTCTAACTATGGCCTCCAATTTCAACCTAAGCAAAACCTATGCAATGGATAAACTATCTAAATGTGCAACTATAGTTTTGCTAAGTGTGTTGCTATCTCTACTGCAAAAGAGTTATGCAACCTTGTTTCCAATCCTAACAACTAACCTATCAACTAAGCTAGGAAAGGTAAAGTGCACAACCAAGGTAGCAATGTAAACATGGAAGCTTAATTGAGATAGAGATGCAAACTCCCATCGATGACTCCGGTATTTTTACCAAGGTATTGAGAAGTGCGCAAGCTTCCTCATAGTCCTCACTAGATTCCCTCGCAAGGAAGCCCTCGCAAGGGTCTCGGTCGGGTAACTCCATGGATAGCCTCGGGCCTTCCCCACGTGCAAGTCGGTCTCCGATGTGCCATCCGGCAAGCATCTCCCGGATGCTCTTCACTATCAAACTTCTGGCCAAAATGTCGCGGGCCTTGTTCCTTTTGTACACGGTGGCGGCCACACCACAAACGTGGTTGGTATCGTCTCGAAAGACTTACATGCCCCACCGAGTACAACAATGGTGTGCGCAAGCACCTTTGATTATGAGGTATCCAAACCTCACTAAACACTAGGCCTAACACCTAGAGCAAGCACATAAGCATGGTCTAACTAGCCTAAGCACTTCACAAAGCACCTAACTAATCACCTAATCTTCTCTTAAGCACTTATGGTGATTGGAGCACTTGGTGGTGTGTCTCAACACTCCTATATCTCCAGCATACTCCAACAACTCTGAAATGCCTGGTCAAGGGGGCTATAAATAGCCCCTCCAAACAAACTAGCTGTTGGGATCCGGATCAATAAACCTCTAGGGTTTTCGAGCAATGACTCAACGAGGGAATAACTCCACAATAAAATCCAATATAATCTGTTATAAGGTGGGGACGCCCCTAAATAAAGGCACACAAGCCTAACAACACTAGACCAGACTCAATGACTATAGCATGTCCCTATCTAACCCTCAACCATAATAACATAAAAAGGACTCAACCTTAGCTACCTAATTAAATAGAACACCTACACAAGTTCAAAATATATATTAAAATAATGCAGCCCGCATACTAATCATGTAAGCACCTTGGATCTCCTAGTAGTAGTAGTAGTATATGAATATCGGCACCTTGGAACTATTTCCACATGGTAATAATAATTTAAGTGATGTCAATCTGAATTGAGCCAATAAAATATATTTTCTTGGTTCCATATTTTCTATTGTCTTGAATTTTGCACCTCTAAAAATATTTGTTAACCAAAATCAACCAGGAGCAACTATCTCATTCTCCTTCCTCATGGTATATGTTTGTTCATCATGAATAGTATCAAACTAAACAGGGACAATTTTTATAGCATTACCTTCTGAATATTTTGAAATCGATGCACTTTCCCATACTTCCATTAGTAATAGTAGTTTGAGAAGTCATAGACTCATCATCCTCTCCTCCTTTAAACAAAGTTCTTGTTGGCTTTTGTACATCCTCAAGTGACTTTTACGGCTCATCAGATAATTTGCTACCACACACTACAAGAGATGTGTCATTTTTAACATTTTCCTGCCATAATATCATAAATTTATGTCATAGTTCAAGATTTGTGACATCTGGTTGATGAAAATGTTTGTCGCAAACCATGAGTCCAGAAACATGCTTTGTGACATTTGTGTATTTGATTGATGTCACAAATCTATGACATTAGTTTTTAATGTCACAAATGTTTATGACATTATTTTTGTCGCGATTCTAGCACCATGCCACGTAGGATCAGAAAATTTCATAAATGTTGATGTGGCGCTGAGTTCGCAGGGTAGGTCACAAAAATATCATAAAACTGAAATGTAGCCTGTTAAAGCCCATATGGCAAGCAGACTTATAATGGGCCAAGCCCAATTAGAGGGCTTGTTTTTGGGTCTAGCCCATTTTATGATTTATGATTTTTTTGGCCCATATGTTTTTTCATGATTCTAATTTCTATTGTGTCAAGCCCAACCCTTTTATGTGCCACATTTTTTTCTTGGTCCATCGCATGGCACATTTATTTTTCCACAAATCACATGTTTTTCAATAGTCCATGAGCACAAAACCAAATCGGATTACACATGTATGGTCCCAAGTCAATATATTCCATTCATGACCAAATAACAAGCTCACCTGTCATACAATAAGATATTCATTACATTCATCATCGATCATAACATAACCTTTCCACAACCCTCATTGTTTTTCACACACATATCCTATAGAAAAGGCAAAAATAGTGAGATGTGATACATTGACCTAAGTGGCAACAACCATGTAATACTAAAAATATGGAACAAAAAGGTTGAGCTCCTTTGTCCTATCAATGTTTAGAAAGAGCTCCTTCGTCCTATCAATGTTTAGCAACATGTAATCACCATACCTTTTCTATCTTTTGTTTCAAGAGCTCCTTTGTCCTATCAATGTTTAGCAATGGCTTGCTCATTGCCATGGTGGATTCACATGCAACAGCTAGGAGTGAATTCATCAATAGCAACATGCCACATATACATGTGTCACAACCCAAGGGGCGTGAGATCTTGCATTTTGATTCGGAACAAGGAGCGAATTAATTCACTAGATCAGATTTCTAATTTGCATTTATTTTCAAGCAGTTATAGGAAAAATCTTTCAGATTTGGGTAGGCAAACTTCTGCCCTTAGCTTTGCCTATAAAATGGGCCTGTGACTGTGATATGCAGCACTCAAAGAGGCAGCCGAGTACCAAGAAAGAAAGATAGTGTGCATCATCATCTGAAGTCAAGGTTGGTCCTTAATTCCTTCTCTTTGTTTTTATATTTTCTCTAGAATATGTATAGTTCATCTAGACCATAGTCGTAGCTAGTATAATTCAGTATTAAGCCTTGTATGGCATGGCTCAAAACGGCTCTGGTTCCTTGCTGCAGTGCATGGAGGAGCCGGTGAACCTAAAAGTAATGGTTTCATTGGCTTCTAGTTCATTTTTATGAGAAGAGAGAAAACAACTTCTCTCACTATAGTGCACGGAGGAGCCAGAGCTGGAGCTCTTAATAATCTACATATATGTCATTCATTCTAATCTAGAACTACTGTAATAATCTATGTATATGTCATTCAGTCTAATCTACTGTAAAACATAAACATGCTTGCTCCTTGCTGTTAATACATGATATGATACTTCGATTTGGAAACAATATATGTTGTATGATGCTGTAATCAAGTAGAGAATACTATGATTTTGCTTAATCTTCTTCATAGTATCAGGAAGTGATGAGTGCTATTAAAATTGATTTCCTCATTTTGTCTACAGCATCTTCATGGCATCCAAGAACCAAGGGTCTGCCCCAAGGGCATTAGTTGTCGAGGATATCAAAGTTGATTGTGTGATTCTCATGCATATGTTGCACAAACTTAACTGTGAGGCTACTGTTGTTGAGAATGGGAAAGAAGCTGTTGACCTTTTTGTTGAAGGGAAAACATTTGACATTGTTTTCTTGGACAAGGATATGCCCTTAATGTCGGGTCCTGAGGTACGGAATATATTTCAACTTGGTATATAGTAGATTTATATTTATTTCCTGTTATTTTTTGTGAACATTATTCACAAGTTTCTCCAGAAGTTATAGAAATAAGATATCTTCTAGCATTTCAACTTACTAGTATTACTTATCAGTTATTTCGCTTGTTGTATTATGCTACAGTATAACAAAAAAAACTTGTAGCGTATATGAAGCTAACAAACCAATTCAATTATTTTTTACAGTAGACTTTTGATTCCCCTAGCAATATAATGTAAACTTAAGCGTCATCAAAAATTAAAGTAAGACTCATAACTGACAAAAATTTAGTTTCTTGGTGGATTCTTTGGAAGGCTGTGGCCAAGATCCGTGCCATGGGAGCTACTGAGGTGAAGATTGTTGGAGTCTCAGCAGATTTTGGTGGCCAGGAGGCATTCATGCAAGCTGGTGCTGATGTGTTTGTGCCCAAACCAGTGAAGCTTGAGACTGTCGCGGCTATGCTCGAGGTGGTCATTAGCAAGAACATGAGCAGCTAGCAACAGCTTGTAGCAACAACATAATATTTGCTTATGGATTATTATTCGAATTTGATACTTTATAGGTTATTATTGCAGTTATGGTTTGTTGGGGCGAGAGAACTCTCCAAGTTGTAATACTTTTGGACAAATTTGGATACTTTCTATGATAATTAATTTGTGTTTTAAGACAATCCGATCTTTATTGTTCGATGGGTTATGTTGGGGTCCGCTTTGCGAATTAGGTGGCGTGGCTCCTTGTTTCCATGGCTTTGTCTCTTGTCTTTCAGATGATGCTCGGAGCTTCAGGTGAAGCCCCTCGGAAGGTAGATCACGAAAGCCATTCGGACGAGACCAAGAGCTTTGCCAAGATGAAGCCTCCTGAGAAAGAGATCAAGATGTGACTAGGTGTAAACACAAGGTTGATATGTGCTCTTGTGTGTCAAGTTTGTGGTGAGTGATTGTCGGGAGATGATCAGACTAACCATGGTGTGAGTATGCGTGGGCAACATGTCTCTTGGTTGTGTTAGTGTGCAAGTGTCGTGCACAGGACAATCGACAGACATGGAGAAGGTCAAGCAGAGACGTGTTATGCCGATAGACCTAAAGCGGTGAAGGATGGACGTGGGGCATGGACTGAGGGGCCAAGATGGCCGGAAGGCTGATCATGGTGGCTGACACTTGGGGACATCCACAAGGAGTACATGGAGAGGAGTTGACCGTGATGACTAAGTCAAGATGGCGGTTGACTAAGTCAAGCAGAGGTGCTAGAGGACTTGGTGATCACGCGGTCAAGGACGATAGTGACATGTGTCGAGATCATGGAGGAGGCATAGCGGATATGCTTCTTCAGGCGGTTGGATGGTTTGAGCCTCAAAACCACCGGCTGGACGGTTTTTGGGTTTGGGCCTCAAAACCCGGTTGGAGTCCAGCGGCAACAGAAGGAGGCATATGGCGTCATCGTGAAGTTTGCGTGGAGACGAAAACAAAGTCGTGAAGAGCCCATGGCCATCAGATGCTTGGATCTTAAGTGAGACCATTATGCCTCAAGGGTTAAATGGTTCAGCTAAAATATTTAAGGGCGTGTTGGGAATATGTAATAGCTCTATAAATAAGATAGTGGTTGCCCCCAACCAGCCATCTTCTCCAGTTTAGTTTTCCTGCATCTATACATGAGAGATCCATGGTGCGAGGGAGATTGAAACCTATGTCTGTGCAACTTGGCAAAGTGCCTGACCTCGTTCAAGAATGGAATAGAGCAATCATGACTCTGAATTTCGAGTTCATCTAGTTCTCTTCTTGTTTTTTTTTCTGGATTTTTGGAGGATTTTCTTGGGAAAATTCGTGCTTCAATTTTGGCTCCGATTTTGGTGCAGATTTTTGGGGGAAATCGGTGCTACATGTAAGGAGATAACCCAATCACTAATTTATTGCATCCCAATGATTTTTTCCAAAATTCCCCCTTTCTAGGGTGTCTCGTTTTATCTGAATTTAATCTCAATCTTGATTGTTGGGCGTGGTATCACTACCGGATTCAGCTTCTTTGCCGAGTGCCTCAGGCACTCGGCAAAGGCCGATATACTTTGCCGAGTGTTACACTCGGCAAAGGGCGCTCGGTAAACAGTTTATCGACAAAGACCTCTTTGCCGAGTGCACTTTATCGAGCACTCGGCAAAGAAAAGTCGCCGTGACGGCGGCTTTGCCGAGTGTCAAGGTCAAGCACTCGGCAAAGGTCGCCGCTTTGCCGAGCACCGTTGACTCAGACACTCGGCAAAGGTGGCCACTGTGCCGACTGCCACCGGCAAGACACTCGGCAAAGGTAGCCTATTTGCCGAGTGTCCTGTCAAGACACTCGACAAACAAGCGACCTTTGCCGAGTGCCTGGCCCGTGGCACTCGGCAAATCTATGATGTTTGCCGAGTGCAATGGCCTTTGCACTCGGCAAAGCATGTTCCCAGCATGTTCCTAGGTGGTCACTTTGCCGAGTGTCATGGCCATTGCACTCGGCAAAGTGACTAAAAAAGCCTTTTTTATTTGTTTTTTACATTCCATCCAAACAAACAGAAGATATATATAACCAACATCACCAACATCACATATATATCATCAACAACACATATATATCACCAACACCACATATATATCACAAACATCACATATATATCACAAACATCACATGTCTCACAATATATCACAAATAAGTTCACAAGTAATTCAGTGCTCCATCATCTACAACCACAATTGCAAATAGAAGTACCATTAACAACCACAAGTATCATCACCAACGTGGCCAATGAGACTAATTTGGTGAAGGATTCGCTGAAGCATGAGGATCGTTCGATGCCGCCGATTGATTCTGCACAAAGGAGAAGAGGTTGCATGTGTGAGACAAGATAAATATATACCATACATGAATAAAACTTTCATACTCCACTAGGTTTGACCATAAGTATGAACATACAAACTAAAACATTTATACTCACAGGAGTAGAATAGTGAGGAGGTGGACGTGGAGGTGGAGCGAATAGCGAAGGTGGTGGAACTACACCCGTAGCGGCGCCAAGACTTTGCATGTACTGAAGAATCTCCACCATCCTCCATTGCTTGGCCTCCTGCTCAGCCTCCACCCTCTCCATCTTCGCCTGCATCTGCTCCCGTATCCTCCTCTCTTGTTCCAGCTGGGCCTACAATATATTCACCCCAATGTTACAATAATGCAAAGGAAAGGTATGAAAAAACCAATGAACGACGAATAAACCAGGAATAACCTCGAGTGCCTCCACCCGGTGGTGTGAAGTGTCCTGCCGAGGTCGTATGGCCGGGCTCCTGCTCGTGCTGCTTGCTCGAATCTGGGAGAGACTGGGAGTAGCGGCCGAGTCGATTTGCTTCGTCGCCAATCCAGTACCGCCCATGCTTCTTACCTCTTCCCACCCTCATGATGACTTCTCCATCAAGGTCCTCGGTGCTCGGATCGTACTCTAGCCCATGGACCTCCCTTGCCATCAATGTGTACTCACTGAGGCGGTTGTGGACGGTCGCATTGATGTACGCCTCGGGCCCGTCCTCCGGGTTATAGTCGACATCGGACGTCGCCTTGCCCTTGTGGGCCATAGCAAATGCCTTGAAGATGGAGCAAGGCTGGCCACCATGTGACGCCGACTGCGAGAAAAACAGCAAGATGATTAGAAATCATGCAGAATTGAGCGTTAGAATAAATAAATGAATTCGCGTACCCATGTTTTTGCGTATCCGCTGAGGCTACGGCTGTCTTGATGGTGTGCTACACCTGGCATCATCAAACGCCGCTCCCGGCACAAGTTGTGCGTCTCTTCCCACTCGATTGAGCACCACTTGTCCACCATCTGTTCCCAGCACTAGGGATGCGCGGTGCACCAATAAGGAATCATCTAAAGGCCATCAAGTACATGACATATCAAAATATGAAATTAAGCCTACTTAATCTCAAAAGGAATCAGTATTAATGTTCTGTATTTACCTGTAGGTACTGGTCCTGGGTCAGGGTCATGGTTCTTGCGTCCCTTTTGGTGACCTTCGTTCCAAGGATGGTCCCGTGGTAAGTTACGACGGCCTGGATGCGCGCCTCGTAATGCATGTCCACGATGAGCTTGCAGGGCCAGACACATCCCTCTGGCCCTGCAAGCTCAAGCAGGATACATCGTTATATTATTTGCATGTACGAGTAACTTGGAATGTCAAACTAAGTACGAGCTAAATTGGACGGTACCTTCCGTTTGAACCAAGAAAAGAAATCGGGCATTCCATTTCCCGCACCCTGTCTAAGAAGGGTATCTAGCTGCTGCGGGGTAGGATCCCTTGATTGACGCCAGAATTCATGAAGAAATTCCCTGTACCAACGAGAAACAAGGGGGTTGGATGCAGAATAGTGATGGCGTATTTAACAAGTTCGTTGAGAACTTACTGCATGTACAGCGCCACTTCGTCAAGGTTGGTCAACACGTATAGCATGATATGGCGCCACTCTTGATGATTCAAGGTCTTGGGGGTCGATGCACTTGCGCTTCCGAGTTGCCCTCGAAAAAGGCTGAGGTTCAATTCATTTTCGCCAGCATTGTAACGAGGGGGTGGATTATGCATGCTAGGGAGGTTGTCACCATAGTATGTTGTTGTGAAGTTCGCCACCTCCTCCAGAATGTATGCCTCTGTAATGGAAGCCTTGATTTTGCATTTATTTCTACATTTCTTTCAAAGAACCTTTAGACATCTCTCGATTGGATAGCACCAATGTCCCTACACGCCCCCCTCCCCCATTCGTGCCTCATACAGGAGGTGCAAAATCAAATGCTGCATCGGATTGAAGAAGCTGGGTGGAAAGATCTTCTCCAACTTACAGAGCAACACAGGTGCAATTCTTTCCAAGTCAGCAATCACGGTCCGAGATAACTCCTTGGCACAAAGCTGGCAAAAGAAATAGCTCAACTCTGCCAGCACTAGCTAGACATGCTCAGGGACATAGCCTCGAACCATCGCCGGAAGAAGCCGCTCAATCCATATGTGGTAGTCATGACTCTTCATCCCTAAGACTCGCATAGTAGAGAAGTTCACTCCCCTCCTTAGATTAGCTGCATACCCATCAGGGAACATAAACGTCTGGATCCATTCTAGTACTTCCCTCCTTTGGGGCTTTCTCAAGACAAAATCGGCCTTAGGCCTTCTCCATGTCTTGCCACGACTAGGAGGCTTCATATGTTGGTTGGGTCTATCGCATAACGTTGCCAGATCCACTCTAGCCTTAATGTTGTCCTTTGACTTGTCAGGAATGTCCATGATTGTTGCCCAAAGTGCCTCGGCGACATTCTTTTTAGTGTGCATTACATCAATGTTGTGTGGAAGGAGAAGGTCATCAAAATAGGGGAGTCGAGTCAAGCCCAACTTATGAGTCCACATATGTTGCTCTCCATATCCCACAAAACCACCTTCTGGATTGACCACGAGACCATCTATCTGTTCACGAACCACGGCACCAGTCATTATCGGTGGTGCAGGGTCTATCACTACGACACCTTTCATAAAGTTCTTGATGTCTCGTCTGAATGCATGGTCAAGAGGGAGGAATTGCCGATGTTTGTCGAACGATGAATACTTGCCACCCTTCTGCAATCAAATGAACCTCAGACCATCCTTGCATACTGGGCCTGGGAACTTCCCGTGAACACACCAGGCGCAGAATATCCCATACGCCAGGAATTCATGCAGGGAGTAGTGGTACCAAACATGCATTTGAAGTTTTTCTTTATAGCTCGGTCGTATGTCCATACCCCTTCCTCCCAAGCATGGACCAATTCATCAATCACAGGCTCCATGAACACACCCATATTATTCTCCGGGTGTCTAGGAATTATCAACGATAAGAATACGTTATGTC